GGAGGAAGATTCGCGGTGAATCCTGGGTATTTTCTTTAAATAATTTTTTTTTTCCAGCAGTGCCATGCTGCTTGTGTGATCTTAGTTTCCCAAACAGAGCCTGGGCCCTCAGCAGTGAGCGCGCGGAGTCCTAACTACTGGCCTGCCCTGAAAAAGTGAAAGTCGCTAGTGGTGTCCGACTCTTTGCGACCCCATGGGCTATACAGTCCGTGGGATTCTCCAGGCCCAAATACTGGAGTGGGTAGCCATTCCCTTCTCCAGAGGATCTTCCCAACCCAGGGGTTGAACCCAGGTCTCCTGCATTGCAGGCAGATTCTTTACCAGCTGAGCTACAAGGGAAGCCCAAGAATACTGGAATGAAATAGAAAAATGGGGTTAGTGATGAGAATGAAGACAGAATCTCCCCTGGTCACTCTCCTGGGGAGTCTGGCCCTCCGCGCGCTGGTCTGGGGTAACTGAGCACGGAGAAGGGGTTCAATACGGCGCCCCCGGGGGAACCCTGGCCCAGACCACCTGGCAGCTGCTACCATATGGAATCGGCTCCCGGCAGGATGCTCTCAGCCTGTCCACAGCCAAAGCACCTCTCACCCGTGTGATGCCCAGAGGGATGGAATGCTCATGACGCACTTCTTGGTTTGTGGAAAACCTTTCAGGCTGGAGGCACAAGTGAAGGAGACTGACGCCTTAACCCAGAACCTTTCCCAGGAGTCTAACCTGTCCACGGGCTGCAGCCTCATCCAGGACACGCTAGGGTGACAGCAGCTGGCTTCCAGGGACAAGGTACAAGGACGGTCGGAGGGGCAGCAGCCCCCCTTCCCTCCCCTAGGAAATTCTGTCTGGGTCCCCAGCCTAGGAGACAGGCACTTGGGGGTCTTGTTTATCTTACAGGGATAAGTAGAAACACACACTGACCTGGGGTCTCCAGATCCAGCAAATACAGGACACCCAGCTAAATCTGAAGATCAGATAAACAACAAATAACATTTTAGGATAAACAGGCCTCCAAAATTGCATTTCTTTATGCTTTACTGGGCAGCCCAGCCTGACCTCCGTTGACACTGACAGCTGAGGGGGTCGAGTCCAGGAAAGAAGTGGGGGCCGCTGCCTGCAGCTCTTGGTGGTGGGGAGGAAGGGGCGGGCGTGGGTGCGGCAGGGAGGCAGTGAGGGCATGTGAAGTCATGGGTCTCCTCTGAGTCCCCAGAATGGGCTGTAGTGCTACAACATGGATATCGATGTCTGGAGTGAGGACAGGAACATCCATCAGGGTGAGAGCCAGGAGGCCGGGGTCCAGTCCACTGCCCCGTCACCAGCCATGTGACCCTGGGGCTCACTGGGCCCAGATGTCCTCAGCTGTGGAATGTCATCCTCGTTGGGCTCTGACACTCCCCAAGCCTGGTCCTGAGAACAAGGCTGGGCACGCCCCACCCTTCACCTCAGCTTCCCCGCTCCCCATTCCCCAAGGTCCTGGGCTCTGGGCTCTAGGCATGCCGCCNGTGACCCTGGGGCTCACTGGGCCCAGATGTCCTCAGCTGTGGAATGTCATCCTCGTTGGGCTCTGACACTCCCCAAGCCTGGTCCTGAGAACAAGGCTGGGCACGCCCCACCCTTCACCTCAGCTTCCCCGCTCCCCATTCCCCAAGGTCCTGGGCTCTGGGCTCTATGCTGCCCCATAGATTCGGTCTCCGAGGGCCAGGAGGCTGGAACGACCAGAAGAGAATGGACAACTGACCAGCCAAGGGTTTTCTCTGGACCGGCTCTTTTCTCACGCCCCTGGGTGGTGTGTCAGATTCACTCTGCCTCATTCTATTGAACGCCCTCAGGGTTAATTTCTTGACTTGTGATGTGTGTGTACACGCGTGCCACATGGCTTCGGGCAGGGCCAAGAGTTTGCAACCCATGGACTGTAGCCCACCAGGCTCCTCTGTCCGTGGGACTGTCCAGGCAAGAGCACTGAAGTGGGCTGCCATGCCCTTCTCCCGGGGATCTTCCTGACCCAGGGATCAAACCCTTGCCTCCTACGTCTCCTGCATCGGCAGGCGGGTTCTTTATCACTGGGTGCCACCTGGCAAGGCTGACTTGTGATATAAGTGGTTGTAGATTATAAGTAGTATAAGTAATATGATGATATATATATATACACATATATACATGGAGAGGGAAATGGCAACCTACTCCAGTACTCTTGCCTGGAGAATCCCTTGGACAGAGGAGCCTAGCGGGCTACAGACCATGGGGGTCTCAGAGTCGGACACAACTGAGAGACTGATACACACATATACACATCTCGTCCACGTTTTTTAAATTAGACGACTATTGCTGAAATAGAATATAAGGTAGAATCACACGGCTTTTTAAACACCTTTAGAATTTTCCTTTTTGGAATTGTCCTCAGGTACTTGGCATATTTAGATAAAATCCATGCTCGGGGGTGACCAGTGTATGTTATCTGAAGTTGATTCAATGTTTCAAGCCTGAGAAGTGAGGCTCTCAGAGGGCTGAGTGTCATTTCTGGTCAAACACAGGTCCTGACAACACAGAAATGGGGCTGGTTTTGTTAGGGGGCCCCTAAAATGGCACTAACGACCAGTATATTTTATAAAAACCTTTAGGGGTCACGAGTAATGGCAGGGCTGGTACAGTTCTGCGGCTCAGCCACCGACGCCTACTTTCGCCTTGCCGGCGTCCTCTCTGGGTTTCTCCCAGTTCCCTGCTTCTCGGGCAGCTGGAGGCTCCTCTGAGGAGGGTCCGCGTGCCTGCGCGCCCCCAGCCCCGCCCTCTGGGCCGGTTTCTGGGGAGGCGGCAGGGCTGAAGCCGCCTGGCTCGGGCGCTCCGTCCCTGGGACAGCCCCTCGGCCTGAGGCTCTCCCAGCGCCTCCGTCTCCGCTGCTCGCCCTCTGCTCCCCAGCCCGAGTCCCGACCTGCTGGGTTCCGCCGTCCTGGCTGACACGCGCTGGCTCCGGCATCAATTCTTCCACCGCCCCCCACCCCCCGCCCCTCTCGCCGCCAAATCCCCGTGTGCGCGCAGCTGTGCGCTGTTCCCAGAAGCCTCCAGAGCGGAGCGGAGCCGGGACGTGCCCCGACAGCGCCGGCCCTGAGTCATGTCTGAAGTCCCGCCAGCGGAGAAGGAGCGAGGAGGCCGGGAGGGAGGGCTTCTCACCAGGTGTCAGCAGGCAGGCACCGCGAGGGTGGGGGCGGCGGGCCAGGAGAAACGCTCAGCCCTGCCACACTCAGGCTCTCGGAACAGCCCCTCGGGAAGAGCTCCGCGTAGGCCCTGTCCAAAGGTCTGCTGAGACAACCCCTCATGGCCCACCTGAGGACGCTGCCCGGGGGATGGATTCCCCCCCCAGGGCAGGTGAAGCACCCACGGAGGGGAGCGGCGACACCCAGGGCGGTCAGAGCTTGATCCACAGTGCCCAGGGCTCGAGCCCGGGTGCCCAGGTTCCGATTGGGCAACGCACCGCGGTGAAGACACACACACTGCTCAGTCAGCAGCTTACTCATCCTCACTGCTGGTCCCGTCCAGGGACCTGCCCTCCTCTCTCCTCACCCTTTGCACGGCATTATAAGTCATCTCCAGATTCTGCCCGGTCATCAGTCTATGTGTCAAAGCCCTTTGCTCACATCTGTGCCTGAACTACCGACCTGCTGGGCTCACTGTATTCATCAGTTATTGGCACTGGTGTTATCAACTGACATCAAGAATCTGAAAAAGGAGGGCAAATGAATGCACAGCAATCCTAGTTAAACCTGTGACATGCAAGAAAGGCAAGTCCTCCTGTCTGAGCTACCAGGGAAGCCCAGTCCTCCCGAATGAGCCTCAACAAGAACTCAGGGAGGAAGGAATCAAGGGGATGACAGAGAACATCTAACTCGTAGACTATCCACCTCCCTCTTGCCCAGGACCCTGACAATCAGGGTGACATCTGTGAGCAACGTGGGCTCAAAGCCAGAGCTGCCGAAACCCAAGCCCCAGCGCACAGAGCCGAGTCCCCTCGAGAAGCTGTCCCCGATGCACAGGCCTGAGGGGCCTCACAGAACTCCTGGAGCAGTACACGCTGATGTGGACGTTAGCAAAAATAAAGTCATGGAATCTGCAGACTGGGCAGAATCCTGGGCGTCACCTAACCCAGCACCCCGATCTGGAGTGAAGACTCCTGTGCGGGCTTGTGTGGTTGAACCAGAGCATCTGGTTCAGTGCCTGGCGTGGAGTTAGGGCTAAAGAGGTATTTGCCCAGTAATGGGTGATGGGCACCACGGTGAGGCCACAGAGAAGGACGGAGACAGGGCTTGGCTGAAGGCATCAAGGATAGTCTCGTTGTGCTAATCAAAAAAAGTTTCTTAAGAACTATGCTCAGGTTTTTCAATGCATATTGTTTTGTTTAGGCCTGACAACAACCCAGAGATAGACTTTGTCAGACCCATCCTACCTGTGGGGGAACTAAGGCACAGAAGACTCTCGGAAAAGGTCGCAAGCCCCATAGCAGTACAACTAGAATCTCAACGTGGGTCTGTCCAACTTATAAACTCAAGCCCTGGGCACACACCCCCTTACTCCAGAGCTGGCCGCCGTGGACGCCCCCACCCCCCCAGGGGACCTCCAGAGTCCCGGTCTTGGTCATCAGCACCCACTGAGGAGGGGGGCCCCTGGGGATGTTTCTAGAAACATCTAAGTACGCCCATGACCGGACCACAAGAATCAAACTTCTTTCTGAACCATAAGTAAATCAGACATATGAGAAAATGGACTTAAAAAAAAAAAAGATGCTTTCCTTACACCTTTTCTAAAATGTTCTCATTTGATACATTTAGAAATACCCACTCTGCCCGGAAGGAGTGCAGTAGCGCCACATGTGAAATAATGGCCAAGCAGACGGACTGGTCAGAGATGGGGGCTTCCCCTCGGGAACCCTGCTGCCCCCACCCCCTTCTCAGCAGCCAGGACGCTTTCTCCTGCTCAAACCGGGGACCGTGCCCGCAAGCGCCCAGGAAGCGGCTCCTTACCGGGTAGCCCCACGAGCCGTTCCCCGCCTGGAACCTGGAGTAGAAGCTGCTCCGGCTGCTGCTCCCGTAGTTGTTGTAGTTGTCGGCCAGGCCGTCATACATGGAGCCTTGGGGGCAAGGACAGGGGTTAGGACGGTGCCGGCCCCGCGCCGCCCCCAGCCCTCGTCCCCTGGGCACCGGCACCCTCAGAGGAGACCAGGAGGACGGAGAGCAGCTCTGTGCCTGCCTCTCCCTCTCTGCCCGCTCCGGCACAGCCGCACGGCTGCGGGCTCAGCTCTCAGGGCCCCGGGCAGCCCCCTTCCAGGGCCTACCTGTGGTGGGCTGGCACCAACAGGTCAGGAGCTGGCCTGGGGGGCCTCGGGCCCCTGCCGCCCCGGTCCAGGGAAACAGGACCCCTCGGTCCACAAGGACGGCCTTCCCGCTCAGGGGAGACAGCCAGGAGGTGGACATGCTGGGCCCAGAGGCTGCAGTCAGGGCCACGGGGCAGCGTCCGAGGATGCGGCCCGCGCCCGGCGGACTCTGGTTCCTGACCCAGATGGGGTAAGGGGCCTCCTTCCTCTCCCAGGTGCCCCCACCGCCAAAGGGGGAGCAGCCACAGACCTCAAAGGTCCAGGAAGGGGTAATTACTGTTTTCCCAGAGCACATGGGCCGCAGATGACAGGGTCCGCGGGAGGATGGCGCGTCATTACGATCATTAGGGGCAAAGTGGCTTCGGCTCGCAGAGGGCGGCCTGGACAGACGGCCCCTTCACCAGACAGCTGGGGGGGGGGTGGCCCTCAGGACAGCCCGGCTCTGCCCACTGCCCTAGAAGCTGATGGTGACCTGCCCGGAGCTCCGCTCACGCCGCGTGTTGTGCCAAGCCGGCCTGCCTTCCTCGGCCACAGACGTGGAATTGTAATTGTCTGTGAACCCAAGCTCAAAACCTGGGACCGAGCTCTGCCCAAGGGGCTGTCCTGGGTACGGACCCCAGGCCGCATGCCGTCTGGCGCCCCATTTCCCGGACCAGGAGCTGTGGCTTGACGGCCTGGGCGTCCACAGCAAGGCCGGCCCCACGCCTCTTGGGCCCTGGGGAAGGCGGATCCCGGCAGAGGGCCCGAGCGCAGCTCCAGGGGCAGGGTCTGGCTCAGTCTGCCCCTCCCCGGGGACTGCGCCCCTCAGACCCCCACCCCTCTGGGGGTGGGCGCTGAGCACCCGGGCTGGGAGAGAAGGCAGGGCAGGGTGGCTTTGCAGTGTGTGTCCCCACCTCGGGCCACCCCGTCTAGAGCCAGGTGGCCCCGACAGCTCACAGGAGGGGTCCTGCCCCTGACTCCCCAGGCCCCCACCACGGAGGGCTACTGGGGCCAGTGGCTGCGGCAGAGACCCCTGCCCTGCAGCTAGAGGTGTTGAAGCTGGTCCTGGCTCTGGACCTCGGTGGGGGCTCCCCAGGTCGCTCAGTGGTAAAGAACCCACTCGCCAATGCAGGCGGCACAGGAGACGCAGGTTCGATCCCCGGGTCGGGAAGATCCCCGGAGAAGGAAACGGCAGCCCACTCCAGCATTCTCGCCTGGAGAACCCCATGGACAGAGGAGCCTGGCGGGCTATGGTCCATGGGGTCGTAAAGAGTTGGGCACGACTAAAGAGACTTGGCATGCACTTGCACTGAGCCTGGCCCTCCTCTTCTGGAGAGGGAAGGGGTGGCCTCTCTGCACCCCCAGGTCCCGTGGCTGTGTGATCATAGTGACTCTCACCTCACGGCATTCAGGGAAGCCGGCCTTCTTGTCTCTAGAGACAGGCTTCAGCAAGGAAGCATTTGGGCACCAAAGGCTTCATCATCATCTGCTTGGCTGCCAGCCTCAGGGTCCCTCCAGATGTCTGCCTGTTCCAGGGTGCCCCGGGCCCAGGCCTGACTCCCGAAGGGGCTCCCCTGAGGCTCTGACTTACTCCAAGCTCCCTGATGACCAGGCAGCCACACCGCCTCCCTTCTCAGGAAGCCGCCCCTCTGAAAAGGTGACCTTCCTCAGGAGGAGTCTGGGGGCAATCTCGCGGGCGTGTACCCCAGGGCAGGCAGCTGACAGCCGGCGTCATGCCCACCTCCCCTCTGTCCAGCCCACTCCTGGAGCCCTTCTGGGTGAGGCGGGGGGAACAGACCAGGGTCCCACAGGGGAGGAAGTCCTCACCCAAGGGCGGGTGTGGGCCAGTCAGCTGCTTTGGATGGAAATCTGGGCTGGCGACAGACATGGGGTTCTGGGACAGGCGTCCCCGGGAGGCTCCACGGAGGGCAGGTTCCCACAGGGCCCCCACCCTGCTCAAGAGGGAGGCGGTCAGCAGAGACGTCACTTGTCCTCTTGGTCACCAGCTGAAGCGTCTGCTCCCCAACACCTGCACCTGCCCGCCTCCCTCTTAGTTCCCTCCACGTGACAGTGGGGCAGTTCTCTGCCATGGCTCTGCAGTGCCCTATCAGCCAAGGCCAGTTCCTGTGACCCAGGGGGACTGCGGTGGTGACAGGTGTGGGTGGTAGCTCTCACTTCTGGTTGGACCAAGGTCTCCAGGCCCATCCAGGCAGCTCCTGAGGGCACCTTCCCAAGATCACCTGCCACTGGGTGTCAGACTGCCTGACTCCCACCATGAGCCACTTGGTTTGGCCTCCTTGTGAGAACGAGGCTGCCATCACACCGGCCAGCACTACTTCTCTGGCAGGAGGCACCTGCTTGTGGGCTGCGGTTTCGAGGGGAGTCCAGAGACTTCACATACTTGCAGTCACACCTTGCAGTGCGCCAGATACTCGAAGGGGTGCAGGCAGGAGGTGAGCTGTTTGTGAGCACTGTGCCCACAGCAGAAGCAAGGGCTCCCTCTCCTGACCCCGGGGGTCTGGTTGGTAAGCACCACCCTCTGAGTCAAGTGCAGCAGGAAGAACACGGGGCTTCCCCCTGAGAGTGATGGAACAGCTCTGACGGCTTCTCCACGGGCCCCTTGGCTTCTCTGGACGTCACTCTTAGGAAGCCTTCCGCGATGACCCCCACCTGGTCTCCGCACCCATGTCCCCGTCCTCTCGGTGCAGGGCGTGGTGGGGTGTGGACCCCCGCCCAGCCCTGGGGCTCAGCGTCCCTGCACCTGCAGCAGGGGGCTGGGGTTCTTCACTCCACTCGACTAGGTCCCCCCGCAGCCAGAGAGGTCCCTGTTGGTCCATGAACTGGGAGAGACTGGAGCCAGAATGCCCAAGGCCGCAGCCCTGGCCGGGGGTGGGAAGAAGGGCCCCAGCACCTCTCACTCCACATTCACCCCACCTCCCGGGGGGCAAACTCGACCAGGTCCCCCCGCGCCCAGAGAGGTCCCTGTTGGTCCATGAACTGGGAGAGACCGGAGCCAGAATGCCCAAGGCCGCAGCCCTGGCCGCCACCTGGTCTCCGCACCCATGTCCCCGTCCTCTCGGTGCAGGGCATGGTGGGGTGTGGACCCCCGCCCAGCCCTGGGGCTCAGCGTCCCTGCACCTGCAGCAGGGGGCTGGAGTTCTTCACTCCACTCGACCAGGTCCCCCCGCGCCCAGAGAGGTCCCTGTTGGTCCATGAACTGGGAGAGACCGGAGCCAGAATGCCCAAGGCCGCAGCCCTGGCCGGGGGTGGGAAGAAGGGCCCCAGCACCTCTCACTCCACATTCACCCCACCTCCCGGGGGGCACGGCACCCACGTCCTCTCAGGAAGGGCCATGGGCCTCTCTGTCCAACGTGTGTCTGCCAGAGGTGTCTGCCCACCCCCAGAAGTCTGGGGTCAGAGGGCAAAGGTCCGCCTTCCCCCTGGGGTCAGCATTCTCGGCCGCTCTGCCCACACAGAAGCCTCACTCGGGTCAGTGCTCGGGGGAGAAGTCATCTCAGACCCACCCCGCAGACGATAGTACCTGGGGTCCTCCCCTCGGGCCGCACAGGGGGCGGCTCGCCCCAGGTCACCGGGGAGCCCCCGTCAGGACGCCCAGGACTCTTCCCCCGCCGGGCGGGCGGACCCTCCCAGGGTGATTCATCCTTCCACCTCCAAGCTTTCCAGGCCTGCCACACCTGAAACATTCCTGCTCTCCTCTCGTGGGCCCCGCCCACTCCCCCAACCCGACCACGGCCAGCTCCTCCTGGGGAAGACCCCCGGGGGGCCGGGCCTCCCGCGGAGCCAGTTGGCATGCGGCCGCCTGCTGGACACACTCTGTGCTGCGTGTGTGCGCGCGCGCGCGCGTGTGTGTGTGGGGAGGTCCCCACCCACGCCAACCCCGGGACCGGACTCCACCTGGAGGAGGCCCTCAGGACATGGCCAGCCTGCTGGCCGGGCTGCTCCACAGCAGAGTCCCCCCCCCACCGACCAGCCCCCACACCCTGCCCCACGAGCCGCCCGCCCTCAGAGAGGGGCACCCCGGGCTGCCCTGCAAGGGCCTGTCTTCCGGCTGCTCTTGCGCTTACGAAGATTCCTCACCACAAAAGCTTGAGAAAGGATGCCCTCCACCTTTTGGCCCTGAAAACGCCTTTGCTTCACTCCCTAAATCCCTCCCATGAGGGATGCCCAGCAGAGCGGGGCCCACAGTAAGAGGGACTTCGGTGAGAGAGGAGGGAGACGCCTGGGCGCCTGGACCGTCCGGCAGCCCGGCGCCGGCCCCTCCGCCCTCGCCCAGGCCAGCAGGGGGCTCCGGACACGCCACCCAGCCCTGGACAGGGGTGTTCGGCCTGGTCCCACAGCCCCCCGGCACAGTCCTGCCCGCTCCTGCGCACGTGTAGGAACAGACACCAGAGCGGCCTGGGCCGCCCCAGCCCCGTCTCCCCCGTCCCTCGCCAGCACACGTGACCCCGAGGGCCGGCCAGGGCGTGCTCAAACCAGCTCTGCCGGAACCTGCTTCTCCTTCTGATGATCTGTGCGCGGCCCCGCTGAGCCTGCGGGTTGGGCCAAGGGCTGGGCTGGCACAGGGGGCAGGGGGGGCTGGGCAGAGCTCAGCCCGCAGGGGCTTCCAGAGTAAACGACTGCCCCCAGCTACTGCTGCGCCAGATGCCATTTGTATGTGTGAGTGTGTGTGTGTGTGTGTGTGTGTGTGTGCATGGGATGGGGTGATCCCCACATTGGGTCTCTGTCTGAGGGAGGGTGGGGACAAGAACAAGGATTCTTGAACTTTGTTGCAAGTCCACCTGCCCACGCCGTCCCCACAGTAACTAAACCAGAGCCTCCAGGGTGGGACCCGGGCAGGCGCATTCTTTAAAACTCCCAGACGGTGCCAACGTGTGGCCGCGATTGAAAGCAGTCACTGGGAGATATTTTTTGGTGATCCGATGCTTCCTGGAGGGAGACTGGGAGGGCTGTGTCTTGCGAGGAGTGGCCTTTTGCCATGGCAGGTGGTTTGGGGAAACGGTCTGCAGAGGCAGTGAGACATACAATCTGCCTCCAGTGAAACATCTGCGGTGATCGTGCCCCACCTCTAACGGCTGCACAGACCCGGAGAGAGGCAGGGCTGGCCTGAGGTCACACAGCAGCTGGCGACAGCTCCAGAGAGCGCTCAAGCCTCCTGGGACCAGTCGGACTCGCACCACTGCACAAGCTGCAAGCGGGAGTGAGTGTGCGCGTGCACACGTGCGTGCCTCAGAGGTGCGTGCCGATAAAGAGCCTTGCGCGAGGCTAGCTTCCGCTCCACGGGAAACGTTCCTTCATTTTGTTTTGTTCAAACATCACACACCTTCTAGGAGTCATACCCTATAGCAGAGGTAACTCCCAGAGTTTTAAACCCAGAGCAACTGGTGTATTGATGTTGATAGTTTGGTGTGTGGGGCGAGGAGTTTGTTTTGTTTATTTGTTTTCTTAATCTCTGTCAATGAGCTTAGCAAAGGAGCAGGATGCCGGGAAATGGCATGTGCCGTGGAACACCCAGGATACTCGGCATTTTTGCATGTGTTATAACAGGCCAGTGGAAATGCTGGCTAAATCCTCAGCTCCGAGCCAAGAGGCATTGTGAAGAAAGGAGCACTGGCTCCTGTGAGGTTTAATCAGGACACTTTGCTCTGGGACAGGCTGATGCAGACACCCCGCCCTCCTCGCGCCTTGGCGCTGGTCCCGAGGGAGAAGCCCAGCAGAGCTGTCTGAGCCTGGCCTGTGCCCGGGACGGGACACCTTCCAAGAGAGCGGAGAGCAGACCCCCGGCCCGGGCGCAGGCTTGTGCTGAGACACGGCCCACGCAAGGCCAGAGCACCGGCCAGTGTGGCCCGAGACGGGGCCGTGCTGCCCCTCCCCCTGGGTGCAAGCCTCCACCAGGAGGGCTTCGGGGAGAGGATGCCTGCCCTGTGCACCCCCCACCTCTGCCCGTCACAGGCAGGAAACGGTGCTGCTGAGGAGGGTGCAGACGGGACCCCCAGCCCGTGGTGACGCCGTCTAGGGGCAGTGGGCAGCGCGGGCGGGTCAGGACTCCCTGGAGTGAGGAGTGGTGTGTGGAAGGGAGTGGGCTCCAGCGTGTGTGTGTGCGTGCACATTCGTGTGTGCGTGCCTGGGTGTGTGTGCGTGCCTGGGTGTGTGTGCATATGCGTGTGCGTGGTGGCGGTGGCAGGTTTGGATTTGATTCTGAGCAGGCTTGTTCAGCTTTCAGCAGAGGCTCCAAGGGGAGCGTAAAGGGCATGAGTGCGGCAGAGCCTTCTCTGGGGCCGGACGACAGTGCGCCAGCCTCTTCCCCCACAGTCCACCCCGCGTGGACTCCCCCTTGAGGGGGTCACATTTTCCAGCCCTCATCTCCCACTGGGCGGCCATGTCCCCAGGTTCCTCTTGCTTCCCACCTGGGCTTACACCCTTTGACCACGGGGACCCCCAGGAAGCAAGGGCAGCCACGCTCCAGAGCCTCTTCAGGAAAAGGGGGGGCCAGGTCCCAAGCAGACTCCACCCGCAGGGTCTCCAGGCCTCAGAGACCCCCTCCCTCCCTGGGGACTGCCTGGCTGGGCAGGGCATCTTTCTGGGCCCAGGTTTTGGGGGAGGGCATGGTGTCTGCACCAGGCCCCTTCCACCATCCTCGATGGCTCCAGGCCCCTCCCGGACCAGGTGGAGAGCCGCCCTGTGGGGCAGGAGCCAGGGCGGGGGCCTGGGAGAATCAAAGACCCCACAGAAGCCTGCTCTCCTGTCGTGGGAAACGGAAGGAGAACCAAGTCTGTCCTGGGGCGGAGGGGGACGGCCTGGCGTGTGGTCCCCCCAGGGACCCCGTCACCCCTCCTGGGAACCAGAGCAGATGGGTCGAGTGAAACCAACGGGACAAAGAGAGACCGGAGCCGGCAGAGGTGGTCGTGGAGCAAACAGGTTGCCAAAAGGAGGGGATCCCTCCGAAGACAAAGCCAGACAAACCAGAAACACCAGCTCCAGGTGGCCTGACGGCCTCGCCCAGTTACAACACCCGCTGGGGAAACTGGTCCAAGCCAAGGGTAAAGGGGACACGCCTACAGTGTCAGCCCTCAGAGCGGACGCGCCGGCCGTCGGCAGAGTCCACGCGCTCCTGCTGACACCCCCCGCGGGCCTCGGGGTGGAGGTGCGGGGAGGGGGGTGGACGTCACCCGAGGCGGGGGAGGCACCCTGTTGGGGCGGGGAGGGGGCATCGGGCACCTCGACTGGCTGTCTTCTCTGGAGCTGCGGCCCCCAGCTCAGGCCAGGGAGGAGCCGGAGGGGAGGGACCGGCGAGTCCAGCCCCAGGGAGAGAGGAAGCCGGTGTGAGCGGTGACTGCGTGGTGCCCAGAAGGGGCCACTTTGTTTTCCAGTCCTACTTCCAAAAAAGGCTGGAAGCAGCCACTGAGGCCCCGAGCAAAAGGGAAGGTGGCAAGCGCTCCAGAAGCTGTGACTTTGAGTGGGGGCCTGGCGGGGGAGGAGCCAGGGCGGGGAGCACAGAGCCTCAGGAGTTGGGGCTTGGGCGCCGAGCAGTCCTCTGCCAGCCATCCTCTCGCCCTCAGCTCTACCTGGGGCCACTCAGGGGAGAGAAGGAGGCACGGAGGCCGCACCCGCAAGCTGCCGTGTGTGTGTGTGTGTGTGTGTGTGTGTGTGAGAGAGAGAGAGAGCTGGTATGTGTGCGCATGTGCGTGTGGGCCGCGGGCGAGGGTCCATCCCCTTTGTCTCCTCCTCTTTACTACTCTCGTTGACCCCACTCTCATGAGCTCCCCGAGAGCTCTTGAAAAATATACCTCTTTTTTCTCTTCAATGAATAAATCTTGGTTGACCTGTACTGGTTTACAGTCTGCAGCTTCCTTATTAGCCTTAAACTACTGGGCTTCCCTGGTAGCTCAGACAGTGAAGAATCTGCCCGCAATGCAGAAGGCCCAGGTTCAGTCCCTGGGTTGGGAAGATCCCCTGGAGAAAGAAATGGCAACCAACTCCAGTATTATTGCCTGGAGAATTCCATGGACAGTGGAGCCTGGCGGGCTACCACCCATGGGATCCCAAAGAGCTGTATATGACTGACCGGACTTTCACAAACTTAACTAACTAAATAATTAAGTAGAAGGTACCTGCTGACTTACATGTAATTCTCACTGGGAAGTGCTTTGTATGAAAGTCTGTGGTCTAGAACTTCCACTAAGGTGCCTGTCAGGTATCAGACCTTCCTCCCTGAGTTTCGGGGTCCTGCCCCTTTCTCCTGCCCTCCCCCAACAGCTGGGGGACCTCAGCGCGGCCCATGCCTAGATTAAGGAGTGCCCAGCACCAGGGCCCAGACAGGGGTAGGGGCGGTTCTGACCTCCAACCAAATTGCCTCTGGCCTCTAAGAGGCATACTTCTACACCAGCTGAGTGGGCAGACAGTATCGAGGGAGGGGGGTAGCTCTCAGCCCCGGGAAAGGGCGTCCTGGACCCCTCCCGGGGCTCGGCCCCCAGCGTCCGCGCTGCCCTGGGGCCACCTGGGAATCACACTGCCTCCTCTGGCTGTGAGGCTCCAGCGCTGGGCCGTCACAGGGGCGCCTGCCACCTGGTGCCCGGTTGCCAGAGTATGCGCCCCTCCTGGGCTCTCGTCGGGCTCTGTGACTACCCGCCCATCCCAGCCAGGCACTGGGCGCCCCCCTCCGCTCCGGACTGGGACCCCACAGCTAAGTTCGTGAACGTTGGGGTGGGAGGGGTGAGGGGCGCACGACCACGGGCGGCTGGGCAGGATCGGACTCGGGGAGAGACCCCCGGAGCCGGCTGGGGAAGAGAACCCCTGGACCAGAGGTCGGTCCTGACTGTCTGCCGCTGAGCGGTCAGGGCCGCGGCTCCAAGGTGGACCAGAAGGCCGGGGGCGCCGCTGGGGCGCTCCGCGCGGACCCTGCCCCGAGCCCCCAGATGGGGACTCGCGCACCCCTCGCGTCGGGGAGGGGCGAACGACCACGCGGGCATCCGGCCTTTACCTCGGTTGGAGTGACTCAGGGTGGACGACTGGGAAGACTTGGATTTCTGCCGCTTGACGGTCATCATCACCTGCTCCTGCACGCGCTGCCGGCCCGACGTGCCGGTCTTCATTTTCTGGTCGGACGGCAGAGCCAGCGTCGAGTTGTCCTGGTCCTGGAAGCATTCGTAGGCCAAGGCCGTCTTGAGCGGCGAGTGGTTCATGGCGGCGCGGGCGCGGGGCGCGGGGCGCGGGCCTGGAGAGCGAGCCGAGAGGCGCGAGGTGCGGGCGGCTGCGGGAGCGGGCTCTTCTCGCGCTCAGCGGCGCCCTGTGCCCATAGAGCGACGGTCCGCGCGCGCGACGGCTCTCGGCTGCTCCCGGCGCCTCCACCCGCCGTCCGGGCCCCGGCACTGGCGGGCCCGCCCTCCGCCAGACTGGATATACCGCCCCGCCCCTCGCTCCGCCGGAGCCCCGGGCGCCGCGCCGCGGGCCGGACGCTCTCGGGGGCAGGGCCTCCAGTCCCGAACGTGGACCGTGGCGGCTTCCTCCTTTCTCTCCCTTTGTCCCCGTCCCTCTCGCCGCGACCTGCCGAGGTGAGGCCGCCTCCGGGGAGCCGCCCTCTGGCCCCGTCCTGCGTGCTCAGGAGTAAAGCGTGCGCTCAGCTCGGGCGGCGGGAGACTTCTCTCCAGGAAAAGAGTCCTTCTCCACTCTGCGCCCCGCACAGCCCGATGCCCGCCTCCCTTCGTCCAGGGGTCAGGGCAGAGACCAGCCCTGTGAATGGGGGGCTCCCAGGCTGACGCAGGAGCACCGCCCTGTCCAAAGGCTCGGCTCTAAGACAGCTTCCGACCTGAAGGGTAGGGGTGGGGGCCCGAAGCCCACCCAGGACCAGACGTGAGATGTAAAACCATAGGGTAGCACCCCCACCCCCATCCGGACATGGGCTCCCCAGGGCAACACCGTGTGAACTGTGGGTGTCTCTGAAACTCCAGACTCGACTCCTAAAACGGGCTCCTGGCCCATCTTAGGGGCTCAATAAAAGTAGGTTTTAACAGATGAATGAAGACTGGCTAACGTAAGGTAAACTAAGGTAACATGAATTAAGTAACTCGAATCCTACCCAGATCCTTACAGAAAAACTGGAAGGTTGCCTGACCTTTTGAAACTGCCTGGTGGTGGATTTATTACCCTAGGAAGTTGCGTCTGTTCTCCCAGACTCCCTGGGGACATGTCTAATGATGCTTCATTCCCATAGCCTTGTCTTCAGGCCCAGATGTCGCTGGCACCAGGGGATCTGGTGTGTAACAGGAACTGAATATTTTAAACTTACGTTGATGGAAATCTTTCTAAAGGCTGCGCACCCTGCCTTCCCCCCGTTAAGCAAAAGACCCTGAGCGGAGTTGTGCCCTTCCTGACATGCCGGACATCCCGTGCTGAGCCGCAGTGCGGCCCAGGGGCTCCTCCAGACGTCACCTCTGCTCGCCTTTCTAGCTGACACTCACAGCTCGTGTCCTTCCCTTTCCGTTTGCCCTTCTGCCCTGTAGAGGGGACTCTCAAAAGCTGCACTTGTCAGGGATGCTGTGAGGAAGAATGGAGAAGCCTGAGGACAGTCTTAGGGCCCACGTGACGGTCAGTCTCTGGCTGCCTGAGACGTGGGTGTTACAAGCAGCAGCCCAGGTGTTCTCCATAATGCATTCCTGGGAGCCACGTGCAGAGCAGAATATCGTAAAGCACGTCATGGTTTCAATAGAAATAGTTTGATAATTGAGGGTTAGGTCCCTAAGAACTTAGCGTCAAGTAAGCCAGAGACGTGACCAACACTATGTCATAGATAGACAAGTCCACCCCCTGCAGACCTGGACCATTGCTTCCAGCTGTAAGATCCCACTTCGAGCCTCAGTCTGTCGGAGCTGGGCATCATCGGGCAGTTCCCTGACCCAGAGAGCAGGTAGCTTGCCCCTGGTCACCAGTTAATACATGGCGAAGCCTCCATTCCCATCAAGCCTGGCTCTCCCCTCCACACGACCAGCCTCCTTATAAAAGCCCTATAAAATGGGCCTTAGACTTCAGGGCACACCGGTGACAGAAGCGCCCCATCGTCCTGTAAAGTACACATGACAGCACGTAAAAAAACAAGCCCATTGTATCACACACTTGGACCATCTACAACCTAATATGCTGGCCATAATAAATGCTAATTACATCTTTAAATAACGAGAGTTTGCTACCTGTAGGATGCAGATGGGCCCTGAAGGAGGCCACGGGAGTAGCCCATATCTCTATAAAAGGCCACACTCAGCCCCTGGAGGTTGAAACTGATTACCTTTAAAATTGCTTCCAGATATGAAGTTTTTCTAGATGCTTCTCTATGATTTTGATATTAACATTGTGATATATTGAAAGCCATGGCAAGTATTCACTGTGCTCCCAGCAGTCAGCACAGTCTGGGCCCTTACATGGAGAGCCTGGTTTGAATCCTTATGATCCTCCTATGAGTTGAGTACCAGCGCCATCATCTTTCTTTTTCAGGTGAGCAAACAGGCTTGGCAAGGTCACCAGGCTGGTAAGCTGCCTGAGCCCAGGCAGCCTGGACCCAGCCCCGGGGCTCTTGGGGATGGTGCTGGACCGCCTCCTTGGGATGTCCCCTTGACAAGCAACGGCTGAAAGCCTTCCGTGAACCAGCCTTTTAACAGCATCTGTTCCATCACATGGCATGAAAGCTGGGCCTCTGGGGACCCAGCTCCAGCCGCGCCCCTAGTTCACTTCACGATGCTCTTTTGGTCTCCCCCTTCGCCCTCCCCACAAGTCTGTGAAGTGAGGAGGTAGACTCGGTAGCTCCCAAGGCCACTGTCACTCTAATGCCCAGATCAGTTACTTTGTCTCTCCTACCTCCAACATCAAGGAGAAGAGAAGTGTGGACATGGATGTGGGTGGAGGGCGGGCCGGTGCCAGAGCCTGTCCATATGCAGACACGATTTTAACTCCCCGCAACCCTCCTTAACCCTGCAAGAGATATGGCTTTGCCGATGAGGAATCACACTCAGAAGCATGAAGCCAGTGGTGCAGCGGAGATCTGAACCCATCAGATCTCCACCCAGGAGAAAGAAAGGGAGGGACTAGGACTCCGCTGGTGGCCCAGTGAGCAAGACTCAGCTCCCAGGGAGTTGGCCCGGGTTTGATCCCTGGCCAGGGAACTAGATCCCACAAGCTTCAATGAAGAGTTTGCATGGCACAACTAGAGATCCCGTGAGCCACAACTAAGACTCCATGCAGCCAAGTAAATAAACAAAAGTTTTAAAAAGAAAGGAATCGGGCTCATACCACAAGTCTGGGACCACGGTGAGGTTTATTCTGGCTGGAAGACTGGTCTCAGGCCTCAGCTCTTGCCATCCACCTCTCTTCTCCACCTGCCCCAGCCCTGCCCCATGGGGCCCTGCCTCAGAAACAGGCTGAGAGCCACGGTCCCCAGGGGGAGAGCAGAGGTCATGAGGACCCCTGAGATGAGCCATGCCTGTAGATGGTAAAGACACCTTAGTGGGTGTGGGTGATTTGAGTTGCGAGGGTGTGGGGTGGTCTAGGGAGAAAGCATCTTGGAAGAAGTTAACCCTGACTTGATTCAGAAACAAGAGTCGATTTCATCCTCATAGATGTTGCGATGACGAGTGCGAATGGGGGTCTCTCTGTCTGCCCCTGCCCTGCAGGCTGCCTGTGACCCCGAGTCCACTGTTCTCAATGCTCCAGCCTCGCAGCTTTGTGACTGAGAAGTGGACGATGGGTTCCTTCATTTGACGGTGCTCCGTGAGGACCGCCCGCTTGGCAGGCCCTGTTCTAGGACATGATGCTCAAAGAGACCAAGTTCCCCTGCATCCAGCTCACCTCCTGGAGGGGCGGGGAGGCAGGGGCAGCTGAGCCAGGCAGGAGCCCTGGCCCGGGTGGAGGCTGAGAGCAGGCCCCTGGCCTGTGCTTTTTAGGGTTGAAGCAGCTCCTTGCTCAGTTTCCAGTCCCCCAGGTGAGGGGGCCACCTCCACCCAAACCCCAGATGGAGCCAGAACTGGCAGCTTCCTGGGTGGACCCCTGAGCTGGAAGGCATGGCCTGCCTCCTGCAGCTCAGCCCTCTGGTGCCTGTCTTGCCTGCCCGCACCTGCCCTCCGTCACAGGCAGCTGTGGGCCTCCCACTCCGCCTGCTGTTCTGGCTGAGTCCCGGTCAGTTAGTGGGGTCCCCAGTGGCTCCCCAACTCGGGAGCCAAAGATGCTTCCCCGGGGGCCCCGCTGCCCCTGGCAGCCTCACAGCCTCCCTTGTCCTGCCCCAGCCCTGCCGCTCTCCTAGTGCCCCGCCTGCTCTGTATGGGCATGGCAGTCCCTCCGTGTGCGGCCCACTCAGGCTGTCCTGTGAGCCGTCCCGGGGCTAAAGGGCTCCCAGCGGGCTGGTGCCCGCGGACAGAGCTGAAGCACGGCCCCCGCCCTCTGAGGGCGTCGGGGATGGCCAGAGGCCGGCGCTCAGGTGGTCCACTCAGCCGTGTGGACGGTGGGTGTAAAGGCCACAAACCAGGAACGTCCTCGGGACCCACAGTCCAGGCGGCCTCAGGGTGTGTGCGGGAGGTGTGCACGGGTGGGCACAGGCGGGCAGGGCCCCGCACAGCTCTGTGTGGCGATGGCAGTGCCCTCTGTCTGCTGGCAGTGCCCTCTGTCTGCTGACTGCGCCAGCGACAGCACAAGGGGCGGGTAAAGTAAGAACCGGGGATTAACAGATGCGCACACTGCTGTACCTGCGGGTCTCCGTCTGAATGCAGAGTTCCAAAGAATAGCGACGAGAGATAAGAACGCCTTCCTCAGTGATCAGTGCAAGGAAATAGAGGGAAACAACAGAATGGGAAAGATTAGAGATCTCTCCAAGAAAATTAAAGATACCAAGGAACATTCATGCAAAGATGGGCTCAATAAAGGACAGTAATAGTATGGACCTACAGAAGCAGAAGATATTAAGAAGAGATGGCAAGAATATACTGATCAGATCAGATCAGTCACTCAGTCGTGTCCAACTCTTTGCGACCCCCTGAATCACAGCATGCCAGGTCTCCCTGTCCATCACCAATTCCCAGAGTTCACTCAAACTCATATGCATCGTGTCGGTGATGCAATCCAGCCATCTCATCCTCTGTCGTCCCCTTCTCCTCCTGCCCCCAATCCCTCCCAGCATCAGGGTCTTTTCCAGTGAGTTAGTTCTTCT